AAGTGAGCATGTTTCACAATGAGCACATTGAGGAGTTAATGCAACCAGGGGAGTGTTTTCATTCCAAAAAAGTGGAAGTCGTAATAGTAGAGCTGTCAAAGTGCTTTAAACAAAGACTAAATCCAGGTTTAAAAGGCATTCAGTTTAGCGTGAAGTAGAAGTATACCTGACGGTGGCTGGTGCGGAGGTGGATGATGGTTACGATAACGATGGCTCCAACAGACAAAACAACGCTCCACACTGAGCACAGCCATGCAGACATCATGGTCGTCTGAGGTGACAAACTGACGGGACTAATTATCTGTCCGCTTCTCCTGCAAACGCATCAAAAAGTCTCTGTGTCCGTTGGACTCGCTCTGGGCTTTAATAACCTGAGACACATCTCTTTCTATGCCCCACAAGATTTACACACGTCTGTGTGAGTGTTGTCTGGGTGTGTAAACAATTGTGGGTCATTTGATTGGCAAAACAGAGGACATACAATCTAGACATGCAAAATCTGCACTCAGGTCACAACATTTAAAAGACCCAGATGGATGGGAGAGTGTGCGTTTGAGGGAATTCACACACAGTAGTGGAAACATGACGAGGCTTGGTAAAGAAAACAAACACACTAAATGTTTACATTCAGGCATGTTTTTGTTTTTATACATTTTTGTAACCATATGTGTTTGTCCTGGGTAAGGCTGTCTGTTATTTGGGAGTGCCTAACAGAAATATGGGGACAGAAATTACAACATAAGTTAAGTTACATAAGTCAAAATCTTCTTCTTGTCTTTTCATGAATGCACATGCGTTTGTAAATTTTTGTATTTTTAATTCCAGCATTTCTACACATTTCCTAATCGAAAACTGCATATGTTGACCGAAATAAATGACTACTACTATTACTACATGCTTCCACCATGCCGTAACCTTACTCCTCGGGGCCCAAAAGGGGGATCCAAGTACTTCCAAGTTTTTATGCTGAAGAAACGTCAAGCACTTGCATGAAATGTCTCATTTTCTGAATAAGCATGTTATTCATGTGTTTGAACATATACATTTGTGTCTATAATGTTCTGACAGGAGCTTGTGAAACTATCGTTTCACGGCTGTCAGATGACAACAGTCTGTGATAGTAAATATTTGCATGAATGTGTCCAAATGTGACATTATAATAAATGCATCTTCATGAATTTATAAGAAATGATGCATGGGACATCTTGTTTGAATACTCAGGGTGAAATGAATTGTTTGCACCCATGATTTTTAAGGAAACACAACAGGTTTGAGAAAATAATGTACATCAATATCTGTGTACGGATTCAAAGCAGGAAATGTGTGAAAGTCAACTCTTCAGAATTTTGATCCTGTCTGTACAACGGGATCAAAAAGGCCAATGAGAAAACTGCATGTTAAATATCCAACAAGACAGGGGAACACTTGTAAAAAAATCACAGTCTATTATTTCATATAGCTATCATTACATATATTTAGCATAATAACTGTTGAGTTTTTTATATGTGACTTTATGGTTGTTTCATGGTTTCATGGTGGCTTTGAGACTTTAACTGTTTTTTTATGAGGTTTTCTTTAATTAATGGATAGTGTAAATTAGGGAAAGGGAGTGGGGGGAAACATGCAGGAAAGGACTGTTATTATTCAGACACCTTAGTTCATTATAAAAATAGATACATTTAGATCTGGATTGTGATAATGAGACGTTTGTCTTGAATGAAGAAACATAGGCATGATCCTGAAACTGGGATTGTACTCAAGAAGCAGCTTGCATCAGTCGACTTAGACACTCTCCGTTCTGTCTCGCGTTCATATTTTTCTGTCTCTTTGCTCTTTGCCGGTCTCTCTTTCTGTCCTATCTCTCTACCCAGACCGCTGGATGACCAAGCACAAAACAGTGAAGTTTCCATTGAGAGAGAGAGAGAGAGAGAGAGAGGAAATTGTAAGAGAAGGAACTTCTTGCAGACAGGAAGTGGGGGGGGGTTGCCGCTTGCCTCAGCGACAGTATTTTCCACATCCGCCGCTGACTACAAACAAAAAAGAAAAAAAAGAAAGAGAGGCTTTGCCCTCTGTAAACAGCAGAAAGAGCACGGAGGAACAAAGAAGCATAGATGCAAAGAGCTTCTTAAATAAAATGATCTTCATTAATCTTGTGTGTATGTATGCTTAAACATACATTTGCATTGAAAAAGTTCATTTTTCAATGCAAATATCTAAAGTAGTATTGGATGTTTGGATATTTGCTTTATTT